GCATCGGTTCATCAAAACCTCCAGCTGAAGGCTCAGCAATGGTAGCCGAGGAACCTCCACTGTCATCGGTCATAGTGGAGTGAGCCCCATCAAGGGGCTCTTTTCACTTCGGCTTTTTCGGGCACTCCTGGATTCCATGCTCGGGCGAAAAGCACAAAGCACACACATGCAAGCCCTTTGGGCACGGATCAAGGGTGCACCCACAAGGCAAGTTCCTGGAGAAACAAATGTGCTTCTTGTCTGGCGTCTGAGCATGCCCGCCCAGCTTCCGAATGCCTTCCGGTACGCTGGGCTGCCACGTGGCCCTTTTACCTTTGCCATTGCCTTTGCCTGCACCTCTGCTCGGGTCGCCTTTCAGGGTTTTCGTGTCACGATCCTGTGCAAACCTTTTCGGGGGTGCAGGCCTCTTTTTGCTTTCTGCAGCCGCACGAGGCAGCAGGCAAACAGTCACTTCATATGACTGCAGAGCAGGCACCAGTGCATCGTCAACGGGGTGACGACCGTCGGCACCCCGCTTCGCTGGAACTTCATCCTCAATCATCTTAGTCCACACCTGCCTGTCAGCGGTAAGCAACTGATGCACACTCGTTCTCGAATGCCCAGGAGGGGGCTCTCGCCCCATATGAGCAAACAACTTCTGTATGTATCTCTCATGCGCCAAGAAGGAAGCCACACCTGCAATTTGCAGGGCGACCCCGCGCCTCTTCAGCGCCTCCTGAAGCAGCAATGCAGAGCCACACGCAACCTCGGGCAAACCCTTCTCCTCAGAAATGGCAAGCTTCCCTTCTTCCAGAGACAAGACTTTGCTCTGAGCTTTCACGTTTTGAATTTCGTACATCCTTGTGCCACACTGCTCCGGAGCAATGTAGCGAAGCTGCCCTTCGCGCTCCATCCTGCAGGCTGCATTCAAGAGCCCATGGGAGGGCTCAAGCGGTCCCTCGACGACCACCCCTGGTATGCTGGCCTTCACAGCCTCCATCCTTTTCTGACGCTCCACAATGGGAACATCTTTAGTTGACCACTTGTCAGGCTGTGTAACCTGCTCTCGCAAATCATTCAGCAGCAAGGCCTGGCTTTCGAACAGCAGCCTTTTGACACTCCCCTTCTCCCCCAGCAAGGCAGCCGGAATTAACGATGCAACGAAATCATCAAACTCTGTCTGAGGAAGAGGGGTCCCTGGCTGCCCGCACGAGTAAGCGAGCTTGCTCAATGTATCGATGCCATGATCAGCGAAGGCTCTGAGGGTCTCGCGGCTCAGACCCACCTCGGTGCATCGCAACTTGAAGTGGTGAGCACTCTCTACCAGGGACGACATGTTGAGCCCTAGCAGCTAGCAACGGCAACAGCTCAATCACAAAGTCAGCTCACATGCAGAGACAAGCGACACTGCAGAAAACATCTGAGCACATTCACTCTGAGCACTTCGCTCACCGATTTCATTTTATCGGCACGCATTCTCTTGATGCGATCGTCGGGTGTGCACTTCGCACACACCTTATACGTTTCGCCGGCAAGTCCGGCACTCTGCACCTCTGCAAACCTCATCCTTCGTAGCTTTCCTGTAATTCGCATTTACAGGCCGCCCACATGCGAGCAACATTGGCACATCCTCAGGGTTTGCAAGGAGATGCAGCATTCCACTGACGGTGTGGACATACCACACCTGATCCGATGCTTCCACCTTGGCACGTCTCCACCGCTTGACCACGGGTGGTGCCTCCCCATCGTCTGACGAGGAAGATGTCGACCCCGTCGACTCGCTCTCCGACGATTCCTTTACCGACAGGCTCTCGCACAGGAGGGACCGTAAGTTTCGCCTGGCTCGGGAAGTAGCTGGAGCGGCTGTTATCTGGGAAGAACCTGCCCTCAGCAATTTCGCGAATCATATCCTGCAGCTTCCGTGCGGGAGCTGCTGCAAGCTCTCGGCTATAGATCGCCTGCGTCGTCTTGATCGAAGAAGAGTGGCGCCCTAAGACACTTTTCAAGTCCTCATCACAACCGAATTTGCCACCCCAGCCCAAGCAAGTCCCTCGCAAGGAATAGGCAGTAACTCTTGACACGGCCGGGTCAAGGTTTTCTTCAGGCACACCCAAGAAGGCCCGAAGAGCACGGCCTACTTCTGCAGACGATACCGACCTCCTGGAATGAACAGTGCCTGACTCATCCGAGGGCGCGAGAGTCAGCGGACCTCGAATCGAGGCCAAACTCCTCCCTGCATCAGCGAAGGCTCTGATGGCTTCGCCAGCCCAGCACTTGCCATTCACACCTATCATGGGCACCAGGATTGGCAGCAACCTTGATTTCAGCTGAACCTTCCGGGCACCTTTATGCTGGGAGACCTCGAAAACAAGCAGCGGGTACTCAGCACCTGCAGGGCAATCTATCTCCACAGACTCGATGAAGAGGAGGTCACTCGGCCTCGCCCTTGCATAAAGTCTAATCAGCAGAGATGCAAGGAAGGCCCTGTCGAAGGCATGCAAAGCACCGGACTCCAGCCGCGCATGCAACTCAAGCACCTGTGCAACTGTAAGGTCCTTCGCCTGGCGAAGCTTCCGTAGGCTCACAAGCTGCTGCTCAGTGGCCCCTTTTAATCCTCTTGGACTCGATGACGCTCTCGACTTTAAACCCAAGCACGAAATGAGCAAACCTGAAAGCACTCAGCACTGCAGCTGCCTTAGAAGCAGGCGCTTCAGTCCTCTTAAGGTATTGCACGAAGTTCCAGACCTGAATCTCATGCAGACGGCTCGAGGAGAGGGGTTCATGAACATCCAGCCATCGAACAAATGTCCAGAAGGAGG